TCTGTGGCAAGGGAGGGGAGAGGACCAGGGTTGGGGAGGTGAGTGAACATGGGAGGAGATAGAGAGAGAGGAGTCATGGTGGAGAACTCTTGGACTGGGAGAAACCCCAGGCAGTGAGGTAGGCCTGTATTTGGGATATTGAATGTGGCATCACAGGGTTATGGGCCCCGCAACTCTCCAGACTACGACCCAGATAGCAGCCTTGAGTGAACGGGTTTCTATGAAAACCTACCATCTTCCCCTGGTCACATTTCATAGGAGTTCATGGGGGTCCCATCCTCCATGTGGTCTGAATGGCCCCTGCACACCATCCAGGGCCAGTATGTGACCCAGGCCTGACCACTCAACCCTGTCCCCATCTCTAGCCATAGCTAGTTCAGAAATGGGCACACCACAAAAACTGCTCACCCCGGGACATCTCCAGAAACTACCTGGAAAGATTGGCAAGGCTGAATTTGAGGGGTATAGACAGGGAGCTGTGGGCTTTAGCTTGCAGTTAGTCCTGGACAGCATGTCTAAGAGCGAAGCCATCACAGAAGAGCACAGACCCATAGATTAAAAGAGAGACTCCTGGATCCAGCTATGCTTGAAACCAGTGGACATCTCCCTGGACATTTTAGTCACACTAATCAGCAAATCTCCCTGTGCTTAAGCCAGTTCGAGCTGGTTTTGGCACTCAGAAGCCTCCCTACCAACTAGGGACTGAGTTCTATACTAGGTCACATGGGGCAGATGCAAGGCAAGGGTGGAGAGCATGAATTCTGCACAGAATTGGGCGAAAGGTGACTGGAGGAATAAGGCTCCCAAGTCAAAGCACTCTTGGGAAATTGGGGGCTGGGACTGGGCAGATCAGACCAGCTTCCTTCAGGCCTCTAGGGACAGGAAGACCTCAGCTGACTCCAGCATGACCTGAGCTTTTTAAGGTCTTAATAGGGGTTTGGGGGGTCTGGGTACTCCAGATTGGCCCAATCTCTTAATCTTCTTCTTCTTCTTTTTTTTTTAAGAGACAGGTCTTTTCTATGTTGCCCAGGCTGGAGAGCAGTGGTTCTTTTTCTTTCTTTCTTCCTTCCTTCCTTTCTTTTCTTTCTTTTCTCTCCCTCTCCCTCTCTCTCTCCCTCCTCCCTTCCTGACTTCTTCCTTCCTTCCTTCCTTCCTTCCTTCCTTCCTTCCTTCCTTCCTTCCTTCCTTCCTTCCTTCCTTCCTTTTTCTCGAGTCGGAGTGAGACTCTGTCTCCCAGGCTGGAGTACAGTGGCACGCTCATGGCTACCCCAGTGTCAACCTGCTGGGCTCAGGCTATCCTTCTGCCTCAGTCTTCCAAGTAGCTGGAACTATAGGTGTGTGCTACCACGCCCGGCTAATTTTTGGTTAATTGTAGAGACGAGCTCTTGTCAAGTTGCCTGGGCTTGTCTCGAACCTCCGGGCTCAGGCAATCCACTTGCCTCAGCCTCCCAAAGTGCTGGCATTACAGGCTGAGCCATCAAGTCAGGCCTCTGCCTTTCTTTTTCTCACTCTGCTGCCCACGCTGGGGTGCAGTGGCAAGATCACAGTTCACCGGTCTCAGATTCCTGGGCTCAAGCAATCCTGCTGTCTCAGCCCCCCGAGTAGCTGGGACTACAGTCATTCATCACCACTCCTGGCTAATTTTTTTAGTTTTTGTAGAGACAAGGTCTCACTGTGTTGTCCAGGCTGGTCTTGAACTCCTGGGCTCAAGCAATCCTCCCACCTCGGCCTCCTAGACTGCTGGGATTATAGGCATGAGCCACTGCACCCAGCCAGCAGTGGCTTTTCACAGGCACTATAGCCCCAAACTCCTGGGCTCAAGCAGTCTTCTTGCCTCAACTTCCTTGGTAGCTGGGACTACGGGTACGGCACCACTGTGCTGGGCTTAATCTCTTGACAAACCCTTAGTCATTTCCAATTCCTTACTGCTCTCTAGATTCTGTATTGAACATCCTGAGACATGGCTTTGATCTAGTTTCTGAAGCTCCTGAAGGGGCCAAGTTAAACATATGTGACTGTGGGTTATACCCAGTGATTCACCACTCTCATGTCAAGAGACAGGAAGCAGGGAGCACAAGTCCATTTTGCACAGGAGGAAACTGAGCCCGTGAGTGGGGCAGGAAGTTGCCTGAGGCTACACAGTTGGCGGGCAGTAGGTGTGAACGCCCCAGACTGCCGCCTAGAGGCAGAGGCTCTTACCCTGATAACAGTACTAATATATCCCAGAGGCCATTGAGTCAGACTCCAAGGTTCACAATCTGGCCATGCCCAGTTCTGCAGTGACTCCTTGGGTGAGTTCTTTTCCCTCTCTGAGTTTCTATAGTTCTATCTATAAAATACAGGGAATCCCAAACCTGACTGCTTGACAGAAATTCCAGGCAATAGCCAGACATCTGTGGCTCACACCTGTAATCACAGCACTTTGGGAGGCCAAGGCAGGAGGATTGCTTGGGCCAAGAAGTTCACAATTAGCCTGAGCAACATAGCAGGACCTCATCTCTACACAAAATCAAAAAATGAGTCAGGCATGGTGGTGCACATCCATAGTCCCAGCTACTCTGGAGACTGAGGCCAAAGGATCACCTGAGCCCAGGAGGTCAAGGTTGCTGTGAGCTGAAATCTTGCCATTGCACTCCAGCCCAGGCGACAGAGTGAGACTCTGAATTTAAAAAAATGTTCTTTTCAGCTTTTCTTCTAAAGCTATACATTTTCCTCTAAGCACTGTTTTGGTTGCACTGCACAGCATTAGGTCATCCTTTACTTGTTGTTCACTTCAAAATATTTACAATCTTTCTTTCTTTCTTTTTTTTTGAGTTGGAGTCTCACTCTGTCGCCCAGACTGGAGTGCCGTGGCCGCTCTGGCCACCGCAGCCTCGACCTGCTGGGCTCCGGCAATCCTTCCACCTCAGCCTTCCAAGTAGCTGGAGCTACAGGCGCGCGCTAGCACACCCGGCTAATTTTTTTTAATTTTTTTTTTATGTATTGTAGAGATGAGGTCTCGCCAAATTGCCCAGGTGGGTCTCGAACCCACGGGCTCAGGCAATCCATTCACCTCAGCCTCCCAAAGCGCAGGACTACAGGCTGAGCCACCAATCCTGGCTTACAATCTTTCTTATGATTTACTGTTGACTCATTGATTATTTAGAAGTGTGACATTTAATTTCCAAGCATTTGGAGACTTTCTAGTAGTTTTTCTGTGAGTTTTAATTTAATTCAGAGAGGACACACTATATTATTTTAATCCTCTGAAATTTGCTAAGACTTGTATATGGCCCATGATATGTCTAGTATGATAGACACTCTATGCACACATGGAAAGAACATATATTCTACAACTGTTGGGTAATGTGTTGTGTGTTAATGTGTTTTGTAAATGTGAATTAGGGTAAATTGGTTAATCCTATTGTTCAAACTGCGTGAGATTGATCAAGGATAAAGAAATAGACGAGTGGGACAGAATAGAGTCCAGAAACAGAAGAACATACACACACGTACATTTCAACTGATTTAAATATAGAGCAATTGATTTATATCGGAGACTCCTCCAATTCAGTGGGAAGATGATGCATTTCAATAAATGATGCTGGGTCAATTGGATGTTCACATAAAAAAGTTAGCTCTGATCCTCTACCACAACATTCACAAAATTAATTTGTGATCCATCATAGATCTAAATGTGAACCCTAAAACGACTAAGCTTCCTAACAAAAAAGGCCTAGGCATAAAAGAAGATCGATACATTGGACGTCACTAAGAATAACTCTCCTGTTCCTTAAAAGCAAAGCAAACCCAGAATAGGAAAATATATCTGCAATATTCTCAATAAATACTAATCTAAGGGTCCATCTATAAAACAAAGGCACGTGTCAGACCAAGAACACGTATCCAGAATATAGAAAGAACCTCTTCAAATCAGTAACTTCTTATTGATTCAAGTTCAATTTTAAAATGGAGCCGGGCGTGAACCCAGGCGGTTGGTGCCAGACCTAGGTCCTAATCGCTCTGTCTGGCGGGAACAGCTCTTGCCTGGGCGACTTTCCCGAGCACATCCAGGCAACTCGCTCAGTCCTCCTTAAGCCGGGAGGCGGTCGGGGCAGCTCCCGGCCGCGTCCCCGCGGCTCCGCCCCCGAGGGTTGCATTTTCCTTAGAAGGTGAAGCCCCAAGTCTAGCCTCTCGCCGGCTGGGAGTCGCACTTCGCGCTCCGGGCTCCCCTCGCCCTCGACGCCGCCGGCCGCAGCCCCCGCAGAGCTCGGGGAGCCCTGCGGACCTCGAGCTCTGGTCTCGGGCGTGGACGGGGCGGGCGCCGGGGCGGGGCGCGCGTCCTCGCGGGTTTGAATGGAAGGGTCGAGATCCGCGGAGGCGGCGGCGAGCGGATCCTGAAGCCAGCACTCCACCCCGGCGCCCGCGCTCGCGACATGCGGCGGGAGAGG